GAAGATTGCAGTGTAATTTTAATTCACTTCTTAATGTGAGCCTATGTGTCACAGTAAATTGATACAATGTTTAACCATGTGAACAATTTGTTTCCACAAGAATGGTGCCTTTGGTGTGTGAAGGATGTAGCAGAAATTGTCCCCAAAAAATCCCGGGTGAAGCTGACACGTCATGGAAAATTTCAGCAGAATTTGTTAATGTTCGGCAAGCAACTGAGAACCAGGTTTTGTAATGGAAAAAGTGGTTAGGCCTATAGTTATTCCAACTCCACCTCTGAGCACACAGATCTATTTAATATTAAGATTTTCATCATTTCTGAGTTAGGAAATGAATTAATGATTTCTTTCTTCTCAGTCTTGCTTTATCTTCATACAAAATGAACATTACACCTGAAGTCCCACATCAGGTTTCACAGAGGAAAAAATAATACATTTTATATCAACATAACTGCTCTAAACAGATAAGAATATAAGATGCAGGCACCTTTACTTACAGGTATTTAACTTCGAATGTTTGAAAGTATTTTCAAAAGGCAAGTGTCTGCCCTTTGAAAGTGAACCTTTGTTAAAGTGCCTTAAGATCGACACTGAAACTCACTAATCGCTTTTGAAACCTACATCTAAGGGTAGGGAGAGAGAGAGAGAGACGCTGCCAGTAATTGTAAATCCATCTGTAGAGAGCACCAGATAAAAAAAACATCATAGTGATTTTACGGTGACTCCTCAATCCGTCCTTACCTTTTTCAGATAATAGGATATCCTTTTTCCATTTGTTCTTTATTTAGCTGTCCTTTATTTCCCATTCTCTCCGTTTTTCTGTGTTTTGGGAGAAACTGAAACTTTGTGATACTGCAGAAACAGCTGTTCTAAAAAATAAGGTCAAAGAACTCCAATTAGTCCAGCCCTTGACATGGTGAGAGGTCAAGGCTGGTGCAGGCTTTGGCTGAATGACCGTACTGTGTTATCCCATCACTGAACCATCTAAGCCTGGGTATTTGCCCTGGTGTCATTTCCATGTTCAAGCAGGCAGGACTGACACTATTAAACAAGAGTGATTCATCTCTATGGAACTGGATACAGACCGCCTCCATTGTTAAATTCAGCAGTGGGCCAAAAGCTTGGTTTGGCTACTAATCCAAGAGTAAGGATCTGATCTTGGATCCTCCAAGAAGGACCCTACACTAGAGAAATACTTACAAGAAATGAGACACACTAAATGAGTTCACTAATTGTGAACTTTTTTGAAGACTTCTTTTTCTGCCAAATTGCCTGTAGCGTTAAAGCCCTGTTTGTGCTTATCATTAAATCCAGGTGGTTATCAAGCATTCCCTCTCACGCCTAAGTCTATTATCTGTAATGAATGTAGGGCTTGTCATCTGATGATTTATACTCTGCCTGCATTGGAGCAATGATGGGTTTTATTTAGCAAATCAACTGCTAGATCAGTAGAGTGTAAGAGCTGTGATGTAATTAAAATAATTATAAAACCGGAGGAGGAAGAACATCATGTAAATAACGAGCCTAGTTTGCATATCAGGGTTTCATTGCTGCCTGCCTTGACTATGTCTCTTCAAAAGCTGTTTTGTATCTTTGTTTCAGTCAACACTGTTGAGCAATATGAGGATATTCATCCTCACAAACTAGTTTGTAAGGACTAAAAAACAAAACAAAACAAAACAAAACAAAAAAAACCAAACCACCAACACCACCACCCCCCTTTTATACAACTAATAGAATAAAAATTAAAGTGTCAAATCATTACATTGTCTTCTTGGATTACATTAGGAACAAAAGGAAACTCTAGTAAAAAAAGGGAAAAGCCAGTGAAATAGCAACATTACTGTTCCATGGCTGTCTGTGGTCATGTTTGTGCTCTTAAATCCATGCATGCATGTGCACATGGATGCACACACAAACCTGCTCTCTCTCTGTCTCTCCATCTCTTCCCCACCCCTCTAAATATCAATGAAAAAGAAAGGACCGGTCATCATTCTTTTTACCAAGAAAAGGTGTCAAAAGTGGCAAACATAAATAGCCTTTCTGCTTTGACTGACACAAGGAAGATCAAGTGCATATTATTCCCTGTCAGACCTCTTTGAAGGAACGACGAAGTTGTAAATACACACAATCACTCACTGTCAAACAAATGGAATTCAAAGGTTGACTAGAAATCGTTGCATAAACTTCTCCCTAAGTACATCTGAGACTAATGTATCAGACTCATTCCACTCCCTGTAATATACAAGCATGTGGACAAAATTATAGCTGGAATAATTAACAGCTTTTTAGATACATATATATATTTTTTAATTAAAATACTGAAATGTTCATATCTTGCCAACTTCTTTGATCTGCACCCAGTGATCAGATTTAAGTCAGCTATATCTTGAAAATTAAAGAGGTGGCATTTTAAAAGAAAATGGATTTCTCCGAGACTACTCTTTGGAGCTACAATTGTATTGTCTCCCTGTGTGACTGTTGCATCAGAGTACACAGTTAGAGGGGCTGGGCAGAAACGCTGCTGCTGGATCTCGTAAGGAATGCTGCAAGTGTGTGTTCTTGCTCGAAGGGAAATAGTGCAAACTAAAGATTATTATTTTGCTCTGTAATGAGCATGTCTCGGTATGTGTCTGATCCTGCTTGCTTGGGGCTGCTTCCTGGGGCAGATGCTTGCTGCGCTCCTCTGCTCAATTTCACTGATGTAGCCCTGTGCACTGAGGCTTTACCTCCAGTCTGTGGCAGATCTCCATTGACTTCCTAAGAACTGGCAATTTCAAGTCTTTTCCTCAGTTTTAGTTTGACAGCACAGTTCCAGATTTTTTCTAATTTTAATGTGCTTTCAGACATATTCCTCATTTTTGTTTGGATAAATACTGTGATTATTCTAAAAATCCACATTTTAAAAAAGTATTTTGAACTCCTGTAAAAAAACGTGGGAAAAGGGGCTAGAAATTACACAAAATATATTTTTCTTTGGAAGATAGAATTTATTTCGTGACAAAATGAAGATGTAGCAGTAATTATTCTCCATTCAAATCCTGTGCAGCTGGCTAAATAGTACTTCTGTAGCGTGCAGAAAATTGCAAGTGACCTAAGCATAGTGTCTCAGGTGCTGTTTTACTTTCATCTTGTGTCATCAAAAGATGCTACCTTTAGTAGCAGTTGAAAGAACAGTACGGTTCATTCAAATTCTACAGGGCTATTCTGAATTCTTGCCTGTACTTTTTTTTCCACTGTTAAATTGAAGAAACAATGTCACAATATCATTACAATAGAACCAGAATCTACAAAGGGTCCCTGAAACACAAAATGAGAAGGCTTGAACTTTCATAGTCTAGATTCAATAACAGTCATGAAAAAGTCAAACTTTTTTCCCCCACCGTATTTATTCCCGTATTTAACCAAGTGTTTATTCTCACTTTTTTGTTGCCTTTTGTTAAGTTTGCTTGCCTAGTCAGAGCAGCTCAGCATAGAGAGTGTACTCTTGGATTTCAGTCAGAATTGTTAGTGACACGCTTTTCTGTATGAATTAACTGAGGCTTTTGGAATGTTATAACTTACTTCAAGATCAAACACTGAGATGTGGTATTTGACATTTTGCAAGTCTCATCTTTCCCAAAATCCCCAAATAACGCAGCCTTTACAACAGCTGTCATGGAAGAACTTGATCTGAAGAATGTTTAAAAGCCGAAGAAAAGTGTCTGTACGCTAGTTTATGTGTTACAGACCGTACACTTCTTAGTGGTAACTTACTCTGAAACTGCTGCTTGTACAAATTCAACATCCTACACTGTTGTTTGTAAAATTTATGCCAGAAATAAGGACTTCAAATTTCATTTACATGGTTCCATATACCAAGAGTAATAAAATATATAACAGTTAGCCTGTCCTATGGCAATATTTTTCTCCAGAGCCTATCTTGCCTTTTTAGAGTGAAGTTGTGCCATGAGACAAGTACAACATACATTGTAGAAGCCAAGTTGCCACTTTGGACAGGAGGACAGTTACTTTTCCTCTCTTCTATCGACTGAAAAGAGTAAAGTTTAAAATCAGATGAAAGAGATCTGTATTTATGGCTCCTTGTTGACTTACCTTGCTGTTATCAGTGAAATTGACAGCAGATGCCTTTGAAGATACTGGATATATTTGGGACAAAAAAAAAAAAAAAAGGCAATAATGAACCGGTGGGACCTCATGTTATACAGGGAACTCCAGCATTTTGTCTTGGTCAATCCTACTGTTGAACAATGTTGGAGAGAACTGTCAAAAATATACCTGTTTGGTCATTATTGCTTTTAGATTGCACCTTCTATGGGAGAATTAAGAGAGCAGCACTACAGGAGGAAGAGACAGATGCTATTTTTGTTTGTCTTTGGAAAGGTGACTTCAGTGTTAAAATGAAGAAAGGTGAACTTTTAGCTTTGACAAGTCTTCAGGTCTTGAAGACTTTACTCCATGGTTGGGGTTTTTCTCCCTTCTATTTATTCCCTTTTGACAAGTCTGGGTCATCTGCAGGAAAAGGGAAAAAAAAAATGTCTTGCACATGGAGCTAAAATAAGGCCCTAGAAAGTGCTTAAAGGAACACGTTAGAGTTTATCACAGATAGTCAAACTCCGCATTTTCAAAATGTTGGTTAGAATTCTGGAAGAAGGATACTTGCTGGTGATGTGGTGTAAATCCAGTTTTCTACAGTTGACTTGTTTCCCTTTAACAAGAACTCTTACTATTGGAGACTATTTTCTCAACAGAAGGTTGCCTCTAAGTGAAACGGTGTAATCTAATGTAAAGGTCATTTTTTCTTTTTTTTTTTTTTTATTAGATGTCTGTAAGACATGCAGCTCTGTGTTTGTGAAGGATTGTGTGTCTGTGTATCATTACCTGATTTAGATCTGCTTGTTTTGTCCTGTATTCTTGAACTGCCTTATCTCTGGACACTGTTTTCACAAACTCTTAACTCTTTTTCTTTCGCATCTCCTTCCTGGATTTGCTGTTTCCTTCAGCCTCACCTCAAGGTCAGTATTCACTTTTAATAAGGGTTTTTATAAGACTGTTGTCCGCTCAGCTAAAATTGAAATCTCACAGAAGATTACACATCAAATTACATGATCTACAAAGTAGAAGACCAGGGATTTGGTTAAGTCTGTGTAGGAGGATGGGTTGGATAGGGTGCACGTTTAGAAGGAACTTGTACTTGAAGGAAAACATTCGTATCAAACCACTGTAAGTCAATGTTGTAGTGCACTGGGAAGAAGGGGGAAGACTTGCCAATGAAGTCTTTCAAGGGAAAAAACTACAGGAACAGGAAGCTGAAGCAAGACAGTTTAAATATTGTTGGTTGTTTCTGTTACTTCAAGAAGAAAGAAGATTGAATATTAGCCATATGCTCTGATACACGCTGTTGAATGCAAAACTAGTTCCTTTAAAATACTAGTTATGCATACTTTTAACTGTTGGATTTTTGTCATTGCATCTGTGTCTGAAACCTTGCGGTGATGTTGCAGAACTGGTTTTGGTACAGTTTGAGTGTGTTATGCTGTCAGAGAGAACCAAGGGCTGAGGGTTAAAGATAACTAAGTTTGTAAGAGGATAAATTTGTTCAGGGCACAAAGTGATAAACTACTGAAAAAACTACTGAGACACAACATGTTTTGAAGTCTTTCAGCCATGATTCTATTTTTTATTTTTATATTTTAAAAGCAGTTGCTAGACAGAGATTTTTGGGATTTCAGTAGAACAGTTAGGAGTAAACGTCTATGGCCTACATCAACACAAGTCAGAGTATTATCTAATGACCACCAGTTGCCTTTAAAAGGCTCTGAAACCATTTTGGATTCTAGTCTTTGCTGATAAAATCTGTTTGGTAGAAAGCGTCGGTGACTCCTGATGAAGGAATGATTATAATTGTTTCAGACAGTGTCTTTGGCCAGAAAGCCACTACTTCATGACTAAAGTTCTGAGTTGTCGACCAACATCCGACATTTCTATTCCTGATTAACACTGTGAAAAATGTGGTGGTGAGCGGAATGCCACGATGCTGCGATGCTGCTGACGCCTTTAAATTGCATCGGCGTTCTGACCTTGGTTTGGCACGGATGTTGCACTTGTGGCCTTGGCTGCCTATTTTCCTTCCTCCCACAAACTGGAAAAAGATTGGAAGTTAATCATGTTGTCCATCAATACCTTCCATATTCAGTGTATCGTACTGGCATACTTGTAATTGTTGGGGAGAGGAGGGCTGTCCTTGAATGACCCTCTTTCCTCAGATCCCAAAGAGCAGAACTGCCAGGAAGTTTTTCTGCCCTGTGAGCATTCTCCTCTGAAATACACAGTGTCTTTTCTTGCATGAACAGGACTTCTGTTGGCTAGTCTGTATTTGCTGGTTGCCACCACGAGTGGTGTTTGATGTGCTTTGCCAAGAAAGATGTTTTAGAATCCATCTGTCAAAGATATTTCTTCAATCCATATGGCTATAGGTTTTTATCAATAAATGTACCCATGGTGGAATTTGTGATGAACAAGAGGGGAACTATTTTTACGTTGTGGTTTGAGTGTGCTTTTTCTGAGACCTGGCATGATTTCTCTTTCCCCATAAAATGTAACCATAACTTTTTTTTCTCTCATTTAGAGCATATTATAAAATTTGGCTAGGGAAAATATGACTGTGATTTGGGTTGGCAGAGTTTTAGGATCTTTGAAGAATTTTCTGATAAAACATTAAAGATATTGTCTATTCTGTCCTAGTTTTTTAGTGGCTTTTCAAGTTGATTGCTATGATGGATATTTGCTGAGGTTTTCATGTATTTGTTAAAATAAACTAAGAGTGTAAGGGAATAGGTGGAATGACTGCTCTTGGAACTACAAAATCCCTGCTGACCAGAAACACAATGAAAGGATTCTCCTAAGGACAAGCAGAAGAATTGCAGGGGTTGCAGTATCACTTGTTTTCTTTCCTGTGCATTTGTGTTTGCCTAATGACCATTAACTGCAACATATGGAGAAATAGCTGTTCTGTGAATTTAGTTACATTCTACATTGGAAGCTACTATGGGAGACATAACTTTATTTTTCTCTTGATGGTGTAAAGCCGTTATTTTTTTCAGACATCAAAGCAAATGTGTCTTTCTGTAAAAGAACTGAATATGTGAAAAAATGTATTAGGTATGTCTGTCTTCTAGAAACAGGGAGAAATACTCTGAGTTAAATCTGTTCTCATCAAGAACAGCTTCGCTTACTGTAATCAGTGCAAAACCTTGGAATTTTCCAATCTGTCTATTAAGCTTTCATCATCTCTCTCATGTTGATAAACTCAGTGAACCCGAACGTAATAGTGTAATCCACATTGCTATTGCTGTTGTGACATCTTCTTACTGCTCAGAAGTCTAAGGGCCTAGAGTGGATGTCATACTGATTCATAGTAAATAAAATGGTCTTGGAAGGCATGGGGATTAAAGCAGTTTTCTGTTAGGAGTTTTTGCTAAGCATCTCTGTTGATGATTGCTTTACATAAAGAACTATCCAATATCGAGTTCAAGAGCAAGCCCAATAACCCTCTTCTGGTCTCATTACCTGCAGCAGTGAAAAGAAAATAGAAAAATACCATGAAGTCATATGTTATAGTTCTTTTAGGTAGTTCTTATGTATACAGGTCACAAAAGTTGAGATGGAAAAAGATAGCAAGACTGTCAAAATCAGGTGCTATAGTGAGCAGCTGCATACTTTTCAAGGAAAGAATGGGCTTCATTGATAAAGCAAAAGCAAGGTTTCTAATTTCAAATTGGGTAACAAACAGCTTAACTGCTTCGATTTTTAATTTTTTTTTTTTTTTTGCATTTAGCTTTAGTTTCTCACCATTATTTATCTCTTGTCAGCTGAATAACGTTGAACATGCTGTTTATCAACAATTTGTCTTTGTAGCATAGCACTGGAATGGAAAAATAGCTGGAACAGTAAGACAGGAGACCTTCCACAGGAGGCTTATCTTTTAGCAGCCTGCTTTCTACTGTCAGATTTTCTAACAGTTTACATTACATGGTTAATTGTACTGTCTATCATCTTTTCAAGCAAGTAATCCAGATCTTAAGAGAAGGAGGTTTTCTGGATTTTTTTGCTATACCAAAGAGAATTTGATGCAATAGGAAGTAATAAAAAATACTGTAAACCTTTTTTCCACACAGCAAAGTGGCCTGGCAATTAGGTGAGTGCAGGCTGCTGGCATGAATCCAGATAGGTCTGCTATGAGTGTCCATGTAAAATTAAATTATAAAATCAAAGTAAAAACAAAATACTAAATCTGAGGGTTTATTTCAGTCCTTTTTCCAGAGTCCTAGATTTACGTTAAGCAGAAAACATCTAACCACCAAAGAAATATTTAAAACATATCATCCTTCTATAAGAAAATGACAGATGATACTGCATAGAAAGTTAAGCAAATACAGGAAACTGAGGATATTATTCAATAATTGTTTAAAAAAAAAAAGTGCAGAGTACTTGGTTACAGGCATATAGTCTATGGTACCCATGGGTTTTTCGTTGTGATGGAAATAACTTTATAGACTGCGCCGTATACTGTATCACCAGGAAACTGCGTATCTGAGTACTGAGAAAGTGCCTGAGCAGTCTGGAGAAATTTCACTGGAAGTGTGGCTGGCTCTTTAGTTTCATACCTTCAGGAGTCTCTGGTCTTCATTCTGCCACCATGCTGGTCATTAACCACATCAGGAAATGATAAAAATTTCAAGTATGGCGAGTCAGCAGTGGTTAGTTTTAGCTCAGCAGAGCCAGATACATTGTTCAAAGAAGGTTCCATTTAAATTTCTGTGGTCATCTCTGAAAAACAGCCACCTTTAATAGTTGTTTTCTATTTAATATATTTTTTCCTTTAATTCTACATAGAGCAAAACGAGCTCTAAGTACTCTGCTTATAAGAGTTGTTTATTCCCTGTAAGTGAGAAGTAAGGTATCTGCAGGATGATGGTGGGGAAAGGAAGAAATGAAAGCTTGTTGGCTGTGAAGGTTGGGTGGTGATGAGTGTGGTTTTCCTTAAAACAGGTCACTGGCATAGTCTTTCAAATTTGCTTTAGCTGTAGTGATTTATCAGAGCTTTCTTCCTCTGTTTAAAGTGGAATCTGTAGCTCTTCTGTCAAAGGTCCTTTTTTCTTGCCTCATTTCACTCCATCTTAATAAAGCGGAATTATTCACAGCTGTACATCCTCTCAGAATTCTCACTTTTCTGTAGTCTTGCATGATCCAATTTCTTTCCTGTTACCTGCTGAAATTATTTTAATTATATGAGACACTGATGAGTTGTTTTTATTTTTGTGTTACTGCTGTTCTTGGTACATATATTCACATAGGGATTTGAACTGAGGTAGCATCAGAAAGACACGTGACTAGACATGGCACTAGGGGGGATGTTTGTATGTCAACAGTACGCTGTGAATTTTGAAGAGCTCTGAGTCAAATGCTCTGAGAGATTAGATTAGAGATCTCTCACAATTTGCTTTTTTCAGATATAACAAAAAAAGATGCCTGTTTACCATACTATTTGAAACATCAAAATCGATTATTTTTAGAATATACTTTAAAATATGTCTTTATGTTAATACATCACAGTTAACAAATTACCTAGCATGTCATCTTCAGAAGATTAACTGAAAATATCATTCAAACTTCATGCAACATTAAACATTTTGACTAACCCATATGTGTCACATCACATTTAGTCAAAGGAATAAAATCTGAAGGTTATTTTTCTTCTTTAATGGCTAATTTCTGTGCAAAAATTTTTCACCCCAAATGGTTAGATTTTTATTTCTATTAAAACTCTTAAAGCCTGGTAAGTATATGCACAGGCATGAATTTTATGTGTCTTTGTTAAAATAGTCTTGGTGCAAACATTTCCATAACGGATAGTACCATAAGCTTTAACAGACCCTGGATGCAGCAATAGTACAATAGTTACAGAGGACTCAGTTGGGCAGGAGACCTTTTTAACAGGTCACTGAAAAGGATG